TCCTAAAATCGAAACCGAACCGAAAATCTCGGTTTTTGAAAAAGTAGAAACCAAACCATCGGTTTTATGTTTGGTTTCGGTTTTTCGGTCTCGTTTTTTTTTTTTTTTTTTTTTTTTCCGGTTAACGTTTCGGTTTTTGATCACCATTGCAAAAAATTTTATTATTTATGAAATTTTTGTAATAAAATCCTAATATTTTTTAACAGAAAAGTCTGTTTTTTTTTTTATATTTTGTTGAAATTAACAAAAAGTTATTGATTTTTATTTAAACATGAAATTACAGATAACCATATAAAATTAAATAATGGAGATTTTTTTGTTAAAATATATATATAATTTTATCAAAAAAGTTCTCAAAATATTATAACTTTTCTGTATTATTTTTTATTTTTTTTTATCTTATTTATTATTTATTTATTTATTTGCTGTATAAAACTCCTTAAACAATTATATCAGTAATTGGATTAAATTGACTTCTTTATTTATGGATTTTCCTTGACGTATACTCGTACATTAAAATATTAAGTTGTTCAATACACACAAGATAACCCACGTTTTGTATATATTGACGGGTGGAAAAATCACGTTTTGTATGAAACCGTGTATTTTAAGGCTGATAGCCGTAATTCAAGCAGGAGCTGGCTCACGAGCTGTCGAAATTAATTGAACCGGTCCATGCCTGGTTCCCACCTTTCTTTCGTCAAAATTCTACGTGAAGTTCTTATGCATCACTCTCACGTCATACTACAACATTCCTCTCTTTATATATATATATATATATATATATGGGCGGCTCAATCATTTTGGGGGCTCAAAATGAGCCAAAAATTTGGGGCCCTTTGGCTTTTGCTATACTCGGAAGATTAATATGTCGCAAAAATCAAAATCGGTAGAAGAATGCAATCTCATTTTAGTTTTATGAATGCAACTATTGTTGATTTATTCATCCGCTTCATTTATTTTGTGGTTACCGGATTGGATTTTTTAATGGACTAAACTTTTGGACTTTGAAGAATATTATGGGGTCCCTTAGAATTGGGGACCCTAAGCCCTTGCTTAAAAAAGTTCAACATAGAGCCGGCCCTATATATATATATATATATATATATATATATATATATATATATATATATATATATATATATATATATATATATATATATATATATATATATATATAGAGAGAGAGAGAGAGAGAGAAAGAGAGAGAAAGATGTTCAAATGTTTAGTCTATGTATTGTGTTATTGTATATATAAATATAGGTCAATCATTTTTAAAGGATATTAATGTAATATTAGATCGGAAGGAGTGGGAGGGATGGTTCCTTCATTTTTGGTGGGCCATACTGTTCTATCCCTCACTCTCCTTTCCCTCACCTAAAAGTCAAGGAGTGGGAGGGAAGCCCCTCCCTCACCTTTTTTTTTTTTTTTTTTTTTTTTTTTTTTTTTTTTTTAGTTTTTACATTAATATCAAACATAAAATTTAATTAAAAATAAAAAACATTTCATTAAGTAAAATAAAAATTACATTAACCCTAATATTTAAATAAGTAGAAAAAAAAAACCTAAAAAAAAAATCAAACAAACTACAACATAGTAAAAATTATTAATTAATATCCTAATTTTATTTAAACCTAGATACATCACTCGCAATCATCGTCTTCGTCCCTCGCCTAGATAATCTGCATCATTCTCCCTAGCATCACTCTCGTCGTTGGAATCTTCACTGTCGACGAACATATCAGAATCCTCGTCTGATTCGTCAAACAAATCATCATCGTAAGATAACTCTTGCGGGGGCTGAACATGAGTCCTATAAATGTGCTCCACCAAATCAGCACGAAGGGTCTGATGAAGGTCGCGATTGTGTACTTCTCTTCTGTTCACCCTATACTCTTGTGTACCAACGGCTATTCCTTCAACATTTGACAAAACTTCATTTTTCATTATATGGGCATATCGTTCTTCCTTCGTCTTCAAGAATCATATTATGCAATATGATACATGCATACATTACGTGTTGTAACATTTTCACCTCATATGACCTTGCCCCGACCGTTAGTACTTGCCAACGTCTCTTAAGTACACCAAATGCTCGCTCCACATCCTTCCTAGTTGACTCTTGCGCCTCTTTAAACTTTTTCATTTTCGGGTCGTTAGGACATGTAAACGATTTCATAAAAACATACAAAGGAGGATATATACCGTCAGTAAGATAGTATCCACGCTTATATGCAACCCTATTTGCTTAAAAAGGTACATCGTGTGACTTTCCAAGGTAGATATCGTTGAATACAGGCGACTGGTCTAGCACGTTAATGTCTTGTTTGCACCAGTTGGACCAAATAATGCATGCCATATCCAAATATCATGTGATGCGATAGCCTCTAGAATAATCGTCGGCTCTTTGTGGTCGTCTCTCATGTACTGACCACACCATGCGTTGGGGCATAATGACCAACTCCAATGCATGTAATCGATACTACCTAACATTCAAAGGAATCCATGTTTGCCTTCATGTACCATATACAATTGGTGAATATCGTTGATAGTTGGTTTACGCAAATATCATTGCCCGTAAACCAAACAAATCGCTTTGCAGAACTTGTACACAGAGTCCCTCACGGTACGCTCTGACATTCTAAAATACTCGTCTCATTTGTCTGCGCCTATGCCGTATGCTAGCTGACGAATTGAAGCCGTGCATTTTTTAATGGGAGATAAACCTTTTTTCCCCTTGCATCCATTTTCCATTGGAAATATGGAAAACGGTCTTCCAAATCGCCAACAATACGTAAAAATAGTTCCTTCCTCATCCGGAACCGACGTCGAAACTTTACAGCGTAGAGGGCGTCATCTGCAAAATAATCTTCTATAAGACGATCGTGTCCGGCTTTGTGATTTCTATGTAACGACGACTTTCTTAGGTTAGGTCGTGCACGTGATGTTTCACCAAGTCGGTTTTGATAGTATGCAACCGTTTTCGCCATGACGGAACCGATAAACTTAACCTCCTTCGCTGCCGTCGAATCGGATGATGAAGATGATGACATTTTGAGTAATATTTTTAATAAAGAAATTAGAGAAATATAGATTATGGTTTAAAAAATGATAGAATGTGTGAGTATTTATAGATTAAGAAAAGGAAATGAAAAAAGAAGAAAAACAATAAATATATATATATATATATATATATATATATATATATATATATATATATATATATATATATATGTTAACGGCTATATAGCCGTTTGAGTATAAAAAAGAAAAAAAAATTGCATGGCCAATAGTTGGAAGAGAGAGAGAGAGCGGGACTCTCCCCCCCCCCCCCCCCCCCCCGGTCCATTCCCGCGGTTCCTTTCCCGCACCTACGGTACGGTGTGCACAGGTGCAGGATCGGTCCTGCTCCTTCCCCGCTGAACCACTCCGTCTGGCCTTACTATACAATATATATTTTCCCAGTTAATAAAGGTGTCATTGATATCAATCAAATTACTATGTATAAGGTTATTAAATATGGATATTATCAACGAAAATAACTTATATATATTTATAATCATCGTATACGTTCCAGTCGGTTGTAGATTCATCTTTCATCATCTTCATATCATTAGTCTTATTCTGATATTTCGTTAATGGAGGTGTATTGTTCATTAATCACTTTTTTATCTTGATATTGTTGAATAATCATTTATCATATGTAGATAAATTTTGTTATATTCATTGTTAAGAATAATCTTTCATTAGATTCATATCATATTTTTTTTTTCAGAACAAAGATAATATTGATAACAACAATAACTTTTCTGATAACAATAATCGGAATGTCAATCAATGTCAAGTGCACCAATGTCGGAAGAAAATAAGAAGATGTGGGATTTGTTTTGGTGTTGGTCATGATAGGAGGAATTCTCCTCAAGCAAGGGTCAAGAGAGAGTAGATGTTTACTTTGTCAACATATTTTAGGAATCGAATAATGTTTTCAATTTAGTCTTTTCGGAGTGTATGGAGTTTTATTTCAGTATAATAATTATATGAATTCATGAATTATAGGGTTTCTCCTTGTAACTTTATGTTTTCATTCAATTAATATTAATAATTTTCATTTTGAGTTTGATTCAAATTTCATACATTTTCTTACTTATCATATGATTACAGATATGTGCACATTCTGTTAGAATGAAAGATATAAAAAGTTCTAGAATGTAATTGTTGATTACAAAGATACAGAATAAACAAATAGACAATTATTATTATTCGTTTAGAATAAGTGTTCCCAAATTCGTTTTTACTTAATGATTAATCGAAGATTCCGTTAGAATTTTTATTATCAAATTCTTATAGAATGTTAAGTTGTATTACAATGTACAGATCAAACATGAGGAAAAAAATGTATTGATACTCTTATTCCATACATTCTTACATAATAAGTATGTGGTATAATGATACCGTGTTATAAGCATGTATATGTTCAATTGTACGACACTATACAAAACAAATGTGTGAGAAATAATTTTTTTGTAAATGTTGTTTCAAATATTCTCATAGAATAACATTCTTGTAATAAACATTCATTTGTTAGTATATGCATTTATGCCATAATAAATCATCAGTTGTTTGTAAACTCATTATAAAAAAAAATAAAAAATTAAAGTTTGCTCAATAAATTTATTAAATGTCTAATTTAAAACGCAGGATTTGTCGAAGTATTATCTATGGAAGTTATTATATTAGGAATGTGAATATGTTAAATATTTTAAAATATCATGATTAAGAATACGATTTTCTATTGATTCTTATCTTTACAATGTTTATAAAAATTTAAAAAACTAAATAATTGTTAACAATGAATGCAGATATCACGCCTTTTTAGTTACATATCAATTACACGGTTTTCTCATTTGTTAATATATACTCAATTGGCTCGAAGTTTATAATATTGAATTTATTTTGGTGTTTCCAATCAGCTAGTCTTCAATCGTGTTGTAACTTATATTATGGATGATACAGTATCAGCTGGTGATGATCATATTCATGATCAACATGAATATCCTAAGGATTATGCACATGATTATGAAGATTTCGGGTTAGCTGATCATGATTCTCTACATAATATGGATTTTCAAATATCCGATACTAGCAATCTAAATTTAGGTGAATTTACTTTATAAGTTTTTATACTTTCGTATTTTATAATAATAATGTTTATATTTTATATTGTTTTTTGCAATATGACCTTACTTGCACTTGCAAAGATGAGCATCCATTAGAACATATTCAAGATCAGATGTATGAAAATTCCGAATATCATTTCGGTGATTGTAGTAGTCATAAAGAGGCAGAAAACGAACTCGAGTTCAATGATAATGAGGCAGATTATAATATAGACGATGATAACATTGATTTTCAGAAAGGTTAGTATATGAAAAAGTAAAATTTTTAATAAAATAGATTAATTATTTGATAGTTTTTTAAAAAAAATTTCGCCTGGTGGATCATCTTATAGACGATGCAGAACAATCTCATGTTACACATGATTATGTTTCGCCTGGTGGATCATCTTATTGGATTCCCGTTGTTTCAGACCACATCAAACCTAAAATCAATTCAATTTTTGATTCATACAGAGCAGCATTATCAATGTACTACAATTACGCATCATTAGCAGGCTTTGATGTTAGACTTGGACCTATTAGAACCACTGAATTCGACATTATAACACAACGACAGTTGCTATGCAATCGGAAGGTAAACCAAGAACAACTAATGTGGATACTTTAGACCCTCAAAATAATATTCAGAGAAGGAAATACTCATTTAGGTGCGAATGCAAAGACAAAATTGTTTTTATTCTAGTACATGGTACTAATAAACATATTGTTGCTCAATTTGTCGAACAAGACAATCATAAGTTGTTTGGTAAGGACAATATGTTTTTGTCCCGTACAAAGAGGAAACTTGATTATTCACAAGAGATCTTTATTCACAATTCGTCAAAGCAAAATATTGGTGCCTCAAGAGCACATAGATTGTATACTGGACTTCAGGGTGGTTCTAACATTTGCGGTGGGTTGGTTTCTGATTTCAAGAACAGTACTAGAATCTCAATTCTTACATAGGTTCCAAGGATGCAAAATTCCTTGTAGGGAAGATGCTATAAAGGAAAAAAGTATACCAAGTCTTTCTTTTGATTTTAAAGTTGTTGAGAAAAAATTGAATGTTATTTTTTGGGCCGACGAAACCTCAAAGTACAACTACAATGATTTTGGAGATGTTGTTTCTCTTGATGCCACAGACAACATGAATAAGTATTCTTACATTCCGCAATGTTTTCACATATGTTTTCTTGCTTCCAATAACGCATAACAATTTTTATCTTTTAAAACAGATATGATATGGTTTTCGTACCTTTCACTGGGATAGATAATCATAAGAAATGTGTGACTTTTGGTGCTCGACTTTTGAGTAGAGAAGATGGTAGTTCTTACTCTTGGCTGCTTACAACGTTTTTGAAAGCATTCAAAAAACAGCCTACGCTTGTTCTTACAGATCAAGATCCATCTTTAATCAAGGTTGTTAATCAAGTATTTGCAATGTCTACACACAGGTTTTGTATGTGGCATATTACAGAAAAACTTCCAAACAAGGTGAATATTATTTTTATATTCAAAACAATGTCAATATGTTTACCTTGTTAGTACATATCATTCAATCAGAATTTAATTTTTCTCAGAACAATTGATATGACTGAACTACATTCAAAAGGTGTATTCTGATAGAATAAAAACTAATTTTTGCAAGAATTCATCTATACACCATTCATACCCTTCATTCGTTGTTTAACACATTTATATATTTTATACGAATATATATATATATATATATATATATATATATATATATATATATATATTTCAGATAACATCTGAACTTGCCACAAACTTAGCTTTTCGAAAGCGTTTTCACTCCATAATTTAGAATTCTAAGCTGGAACCACATGTTTTTGAAAAGGAATGGAAATCTTGTTTACATGAGTTTAACATTTCAAATAACAAGTTGATGCAAGAGATGTATGGGTTGTTTAGACGTTGGGTACCTGCATTCTTCAAGGACATACCGATGTCTGGCCTTATGAGAACTTCATTGTCGGAAGGCCAAAATTGGTCGTTTTAGAACAACACCCTTATCGGTTCCTATCTTTTAATGTTTATGATGACATTTGAGGGTGTTATAAAAAGTTAAAGGTGTAATAAAGTTGTAAACGACTTTAACACTGCTACAACTGTTCTTAGATTCATCACATCTAGTCCAATTGAACCACATGCTTCAAAAGTCAACACTCGTAAAATTTTCTATCAGGTGCAGAAAGAGATTTCTGATTCCGACAAAACTTGTTTCCAGATGAGTGTTACTTCTAATAATGGTGTTGAGACCATTCTTATTTTGGAGAAGCAAAAGAACATAACAACAAGGCAACCATCAAGTCCTGTTGTTGATGACAAAGTTGAGGAATACCATTACGATTCTCTTACAGAGGATACCCAATAGATGGTACATTATTTCATTAACACCGCATACTTATTTAATTGAATCAAACAACAAGACTTTATAACTAAAACTCTTATTTTATCATACATATTCCAGGTTACACACTAAAAAATAGATGGCTCATACAAATGCCCTTGCATGCATTTTGAACATATCGGTCATTTGTGTAGGCACATATTCTTTGTATTTAAGTACTACAGTATTGAACAGATTCCTGAAGAATACATTATGAGATGGTGGCGTCGGGATGTTGTTCCAACAGAATTGCTTAAAAGGAATTTTTCTAATTCTTTGCTAGACTCTAACTCTAACATGATGGTTATTGAAATTTTCTCAAATGTAGATCGCTGTGTTTTATTTTTAAGCCATGATGCATCGAAATTAAAGTCATATCTTGAAGAGTTGAATAAGTTGAAGAAAAAATTTGTAGATGATTGTCCAGCCCCTGAGATACCATCAAGAGAATCATTCTACAACCAGATTATCGGTGTACAATTAACTAATGATGCTCCCGATATTGATAACCCATCTGATATTCGTAATAAGGAAATTGGCAGTCATGGTAAGAGATTAAAATCAAAGAAAGAAATTTTGTAAAAAGCATGTTCGAAGCCTAAGCAAAAGTGTGTTTTATGTAAACAGCTGGTTAGCCATGATAAATGTAACTATCCTCTTAAAAAACGTGACTAAGTAGTATGTTTTACATGTAGTTTTTGTTTTAATTTTATGTTACGCTAAAACTTTATTGATTACAAATTTCATAGTCTTTAATATAATTGTCATACATTGTTATACGCATTCAACTTTACATATATTCTTTCATAAATTCACAACCATTTCGATTTTTACATATATTGATATATGCATTCTACCATAATATATTGTTATATGCATTCCACTTTACATATATTCTACCAGCATACATTGTTATATGCATTCCACTTTACATGCATTGTTACATGCATTCCACTTTACATATATTCTTCCAGAATCTATTGTACCAATAATTATAACATTTTTTTACCCACGATTAAAGTGTACACCAACTAGTATCAAACTTCCACAACAAATGCATATAATAATTATATTATCGGAAAACAAAACTTAACTGTATTTGATTCTTAGATTATAACATTTAATTCCACAACAAATGTATATAATAATTTTACCAAAATATATTATACAAATAATTATAACATTTTTTACCCACGATTAATGTGTACACTAACTAGTATCAAACTTCCACAACAAATGCATATAATACTTACATTTTTGGAAAACAAAACTTACATGTATTTGATTATTAGATTATAACATTTGATTCCACAACAAATGCATATACTAATTCTACTAGAATATATGGTACCAATAATTATAATATTTTTTTACCCATGATTAAAGTGTACATCAACTAGTATCAAACTTCCATAACAAATGCATATAATAATTACATTATCAGAAAACAAAACTTAACTATATTTGATTGTTAGATTATAACATTTGATTCCACAACAAATGCATATAATAATTCTACCATAATATATTCTATAAATAATTATAACATTTTTTACCCACGATTAATGTGTACACTAACTAGTATCAAACTTCCACAACAAATGCGTATAATAATTACATTCTTGGAAAACAAAACTTACATGTATTTGATTATTAGATTATAACATTTGATTCCACAACAAATGCATATAATAATTCTACCACAATATATGGTACAAATAATTATAACATTTTTTACCCAAGATTCATGTGTACACTAACTAGTATCAAACTTCCACAACAAATGCATATAATAATTACATTCTTGGAAAACAAATACTATCTTTTACCAAAAAAAAATATAAAACTAGTAGAAAAAATATCATTCACATTCATCTGCTTCCCGAGAACACATTAACATACTTCAACAAGCCTAATATCTATAACAAAATAAACCATTATACCAAAAGTCATTCAACATAAACTATCCTACCATTGATAAACAATTTCCTCAAAAACGAACAATACTAAAACAAAATAAAGGAACATAACATACTTTAATTCCTAAAAACATAGACTTAAAACAAACATAATAACAATAGTCTTTAAAAACAAACCATCCTAACATCATAAAATGCCTATCTTAAAATCGATGCCTTCCACGTCCCTGCTTCTCCCTGATTTCTTTCACTTCATTCATCACAGCCAATTTATGCAATGGATCGAGCCTCTCACACTCTTATTTATCTTTCTCTAGCATACTTTTATGCTTGTTGTACTCCGATTTCATAAGCCTTCCCATGTATTTGATTCTTAGATTATTAAAGCAACTACATCACTATGTTTTTTCCCTATAAAACCGCAATCCCAACGCCCTTCATTTTCCCCCATATATCACTCCATATGCCTCATAGATATACTGTAACATCCCGAAACTCAGGTAAAGCTATTTAACCCTTCCCTTTTGTTAAGTTGTCAAGATTATTCCCTGGAATGAGTTTTGTAGCAAACAAGCACGCTGGGCATACTGGGGCGTACGCTGCGCATACTCATGTGCTTAAGTTGGACGCGGACTCGCCTTGGTACGTTGGGCGTACCCAAGGTTACTTTGGGTGTAGCGGGCCTAGATGCAAACCGTAATATTTGGCTTGTGCACTATATAAAGGATTCTAAGGCTAATTTCTTAGCCTCCATATCGGAGAGTGAAACCCTAAGAGTGGCTTCCATCGTCCTTAGCTTGAGTGTGATTTTTTGGAGCTAACAGGTGCCTTGGTGTGTTAGTGAAGAAGGAGAGGAGCTTGTGGAGGATAGGGCTTGAAGTGCAAGTTTGGATTTGGGATCTTCAAAGGAAGGAGCTTCATCTAGAGGTATAAAGTTCAAAACTTTCCTCTTTATTTGGTTTGATGTTGCATGGACCATTTCTAGGGTTAAAAGTCCCAAAGGTGGAGACTTTATGAGTGTAATAGAGTCCATGGACCTAGATCTTTCCCATTTCAGTGATATTTGTGCTATATATCCATAAAAATCCCAACTTGGTCGTTCTTATGGGGTCATGTTTGAGTTATGAGCTTTCTAGGGTTGGAAATGGAATGTTATGGGTGTTAGTGACTTGTCCAACCATGCAAAGGCTTAAAGTCACCAACTTTATGAATTAAGAGGCTTATGGATGGTCAGATCTAAAAGTTGGGCGTGTGTCTTAACTGTTTAAGACCTCAAAAGCTAAGGAATCTGAAACTGGAAATTACGCAGGACGTAATCCTACTACGCACGACATAAGGGGTCGCGTACCCTGTTCCTGTGAGGACGCCGGGTATGCCCAGCGTACATGTTTGGTACGCGCAACGTAACCCAGAGAGTTGAATTTTGTTTACTTTTAGGATTTGGTCAACCTTAGGGTCTTTGAGCCACGAGAGGGGTAAAATGGTCTTTTACCCTTCTAAGAGTACTAAGAGAGGGAATAGTCTAGCCTTGAGAGATGTATTGATTAAGAGTGTTTATTTTGTATGATTAGGCGGAGGCTAGATCAGATTTTTACAGAGTTCGAGATTACCGAGTTACCCGAGGTGAGTCTTCTCACTATACTTTACCTAGAGTGGTAATTAGAGTTATATGACAGAGTATCTTGCATGTTATTTATATGATTGTGACGCACTACATTATTTTTATGTGATTTATGTTGTGTAAGTTCCAGAGTTTGCAGAGTTAGGACTACAAGGTCCATAGAGTTATAGCCTCGAGTGGCTAATATGTGGTATATGTGGTATTTTGGGGAACTCACTAAGCATTTATGCTTATAGTGTTGTGTTATGTGTTTCAGGTTCCAGTGTGGATCGCAGGAAGGCGCCGACATAATCATTACACAAATGAGGAGTTTTATGCATTATGATCTTGGGTTGTGTTTCTATGGTTGAAATGTGATATAATGACATTTTTATAATATTTATGAATGAAAGTATGCTTTTTGAAAATGTAAAAATTGTTTAAAAATTTTAGGTGTTACAAGTTGGTATCAGAGCCTTGGTTTGAGGGATTCGGGTGCACCTTTTGGCGTATCTGAACTCAAACTGAGGATTTGAGAGATTTTCAAAATAAAATTCACAAAATTTTCTCAAAGAGTAAAAAGTTTTTGAAAGAGCAAAGCAGAGCAGTGTGTACGATCAGCCAACGCCAGAAAGGTGATTTCCCAAAATACCCTTTACATTATGAGTTATGAGAAATGTTATGATATGATATGCATGCTAGAATAGGCTAGGTATTCTTATTAGGACTAGAGTGCCCTGATTTGTGATGCCTTAGCCTAGGGGTTTTGCTATTAGATGCTTGAGAGAGACTAGATAGCAGCGAGGAGCTATGAGAGATCTGATAAAGAGTAGACTATGCATAGTGAGAGTTGAGTACTTAGGACTTGGGATCCTAGGAGGAGGACTTGGGATGAATATTGATGTGGTGTGGACGGTAGTATTGGGCCTGTACTACTAAAGACAACGGAGCAGTGCACAGCCCAAGTAAGAATCCTTGGGTAGCAAGGAACGAGTAGGGTCAAGTTATCGAGTGCGAGTATGTTCGAGTGAGTCTCTTATATGTTTTATGTTGTATTTTAGAGATATCATGGTTAGGACACGCCACAGACCAGGGACTAGTGGGGTGTGCGATGAGGAGCTCCGCCAGATGATCCATGAGGAGGTGGCTGCGGCCATCCATGTGGAGATTCCAGAGATGTTTGGGTCTATCAAGACCACTCTGATTGAGACTTTCAATGAGAGATACGCAGCGGTTACTGAGGCTGCAGCCGCTATAGCTACCGCAGCTGTTGCTGATGCCAGACCTCAGGGTGGCGATTCGTTGCTGTTACGGGAGTTCAGCAACACGAAGACACCAGAGTTTGATGGTATGCTTCTATACGTGTTCATGTCCAGAGCATCTGAGGGTGCGGTTCACGCTGAACCAGCTTTGCTTGGGAGTGAAGGACTGGTGGAAGTTTGTGACGACACACTTTTCGTCTGCTG